GGTGTGGGTGTGGGTGTGGGTGTGATGTGGGTGTGGGTGTGGGTGTGGGTGTGGGTGTGGGTGTGGGTGTGATGTGGGTGTGGGTGTGATGTGGGTGTGGGTGTGTGGGTGTGGATGATCAGAAGAAGTAAGTCCACACCCACACCCCACACCCACACCCACACCTCACACCCCACACCCCACACCCGCACCCACACCCCGCACCCACACCTCACCCACACCTCACCCACACCCACCCCACCCACGCCCACTTCCACACCCACCCACACCCTAACTATCTGTATTAATTGCAAGACACTAGACTTGTGTTGTATCTCTAGTGCAATGGGTAGTTTTTCTCTCAGATTATTAACTTTCATAAGATCTCGTTCGACAATAATATTTCTTGTCTTGTTATGAAAGATTTGGAATAGCACAAAAGAATTTGCGTAAGTTTTCATTTAAAATTGAATCATTGTCATCAAAATTCTGCTAAACACAAAAGGAATGCGAACAGTATTATTTTGCCGAAAACCATTTGTCCTTATTATTCTATGATTATGAAAGTTGCCCAAAGAAATACTTTAACGATATGTAAATAAGATCTATGTACCCATACATTTGTGTATGCAAAATGTGTTTAACTATGCAGAGCAGCTGGTCTTTGACAAACAAAAAATCATTTTCTTTCACATATCATCTTATTATTAATAAGTATTGACATAAGTTTTTTGAATATGTAAGCCTATGATATATTTTTAATTAGCAGGACCATACTATAACAGGATATCGACATACTTCTCTTACATGTACAAAGTCTAATCAACTGCATTCGACGATAACATGAGATTAGCTAATATTTTGACTGTGTCAGTTTTGGTGTTGACGATTACAACAATTTCTTATGTGCATAATTCTGGTCAGAGTTATGTTATCAAGAAAGATTTATTGTATTATAAATATGGGCCACGTCAATTTTCTATCTACGATAAAAGTGAAAAGCATCTGAAATATCGTATTGAAGCTCAATCTTATTTCCATCAAAACAATCATATAGTGGCTCATCCATCGAAGCGAGTCCTTGGTAAACTAACTAGTCGACGGTCATCCATAAACAGTACTTTTGATATTTCGCTTCTTGATCTACCAAGCGACAAATGGATCGATGGGTTCATTATAGAAACATCAAGTTCACGCAAGAAAGAATTTACCATCTGTTGGAATAACACATGTATAATACTAAAAAGTCAGCCCAATCCTCTTCCCAAAGTATTTTATTAAAAAAGGTCAAAGCGAATTCTTAGCTTATTACAAACAACACCGAACATCAATACTGTTGCCAGCAGGATACATGATGGATATACTCTCCATCAAGTTTCCAGAAGTACTTTACTTTCTGGCATTCACTCTTGAAGAACGCAGATCATCACCACTATATCGCAAAAAATGAATGAAATGATTGACTTTTTAGTTCAAAATAAATATAAAATCTTCGTATACATATATTTGTTTATGAAATACTTCCTCTACTATGAAGAGCAGCTAGTTGAAAGCGGATAGATAGTTCTAATGTCGAAACTTATGCATTGACTCTCTGTAATTCTTTATGCATTTCAAATAAATTAATAAGAGAATGATTTGAAAAGTTATAATAGAATATTACACTTGCTTTTATCTGACGTTTAATTATATTTTTGCCTCACATAATAAAAGCAAATAAATAGATACATCAACATACTTATCTTACTAGTTATCAAGAAAGATTTCTTTTCTCAAATTGGATCACGTCAATTTTCAGTCTATGATAAAAGTGAAAAGCATCTGAACTATCGTATTGAAGCTCGATTTGCTTGGCGGCATAATAATCATGTAGTGGCTTATCCATCAAAGCGAGTCATTGGTAAAATATAGTGCTGATATTTCGCTTCTTGATCTATCAACCAATCGATGGATCAATGGAAACATTACGAAAACATCAAATTGACGAAAGACAGAATTTACAATATATCGGAATAACACATGTATAATACTGAAAAGTAAACCTGTCTTCTTCCGAAGGAATTCTATGAAAAAGGTCGAGATGAACTCTTAGCTTATTTCAAAAGACGACCAGCGTCAAGATTATGGGTAGCAAGATACGATATGGATATATACTCTATCAAGTTTCCAGAAGCACTATAATTTCTTGCATTAGCTGTTGAAGAGCTTAGATCATCAGCACTAAAGGGTAGAAAATCAATGAAATGATTCATTTATTGTAATACGCGTCATTGTATTCTTTTCAAAATGCAAATGCTTCTATATGACATTCATTGATTCAGAGTTTGATGAAATCAAATAAAACATTAAAATTATCTACTCGCAAATAAAATTGATTACAACTACTTCAAATTTATTAAAACTAATCGACTAAGAATTTCCAAAATGAATTGCTTGTTAATAATGACTTGGTCATTTTCAATCGACAGAATAAATCGCACTAAATGTTCAAAGTCTCTTTATCATACATTAGTCTGAAAGTCTTAAATCTAATCCAAGATTTTGAATCCAACTGTTTTAGTATACAGGGTGTCCCATAAGTAACAAGACAAGGAAAAAAAGTTTGAATATCTCCATTAGGGCTCGACCAAATGGGCTCAATTTTTTATCAAGGATAGAGGCATCTGCACACTCCAAATCCATACGAACAAGGTGAATGAGAACCTTTGTTAAGTATCGCTAGTGACCTCAACAATAAAATTTTTGCTTTGTCACTGGTAAGAAAAAACCAATATACAGGATAGTGCAAAAGTCACTTTATCGAAAAGAAAATTAAATATTTCCATTACGGCTCGAGCAACCGAGCTGATTTTTTTACCAAAAATAGAGGCATGCTTATACTTCAAATCCATACAGACAAGCTTAGTGAGGACCTTTGTTAAGTATATTTTTTTATTTTCCTGTCTGTGAAAAAGTAAAAATTTTATTGTTGAGGTCAATAGTGATACTTAACAAAGGTTCTCATTCACCTTGTTCGTATGGATTTGGAGTGTGCAGATGCCTCTATCCTTGATAAAAAATTGAGCCCATTTGGTCGAGCCCTAATGGAGATATTCAAACTTTTTTTCCTTGTCTTGTTACTTATGGGACACCCTGTAGTATCTTGATGGGAAGAATATAAGCCGTACTCGAAATAAAGATGATATTTTTATTTTTTTCAGGAGGAAAGAAAACAGAAGTATGGATGTATTGCTCCAATTTATCTTTGTTACAGCTTTTCGTGTGCAAAAATTGCAATTATTTTATTTTGCGTTTTAATAGTTTCATATGATCTCGGCAGCAGGATCGTAAATATATTCGAATTTGTTGTTTATGAATTGACGTAGATAAATTTTCATGAAAATTATCAAAGGCGAGCTTTCATTTTGTTTGATGACCTTTTCACTTCGCGAATTAATCCTTTTGTCAATTAGTCACAGTTCCTTTTTATTTCGTCTATAAATGTATTGTATGCTGATCCATTTGCTATTTTCTTTTGTTTTTCACTTATCATTTATTTAATGAATGCAACTACATATGCGATCTTTTAAAGTGCAATCTTATATCATAAGTTTGTAACATTTTAAAAAATTCTTTGACATGGAATAAAAGCTTTATTTTGCAAGAAAGTAATGTCCATTTTTCGATAAGATCTGATGAAGAGATGTTAGACAGTAAACATCTCATTAGAATTTTCAATTTCTTAGAGAACACTTAACTCGAGATTTCTAAGTTCGAACAATAGATACTTACGACAATTATAGAATTCAACAAAGACTGTATTATAGGTAGGTAGTATATTGACTAAACAGAGCTATGGAATGATGATGGATAAAAAACAAAGATCGTCTTGGATAGTAGAGTATAATTAATAAGTGATAAGAATGTAAGTGTAGTGTTAAGTCTGCTTTAGATATCTGGTACATTAGACCTTTTGTCATCAATTTTAAAGAAGTCACTCTCAAAACATAGGTACAGAACATGAAATCTACTATATCAACATTAATTTTGCTGCTCTTCATAACGACGACAACGCTTACTGATCGATTTCCACACATCGATGTTATTAAACGTAGGTGTCATTTTTTCTTTGTTCTAAAGACATAGTTGACGTCAGCTAACATTATTATGATTTCTTTCAGAGATTGTTCAAGATTACAAAACTTCAACAGTTGATAATAATGAAAATATCGTCAAAATGTATTCGTCGCCGAAGACTCTTGGCAATTCTATACTTATTGACCTTGCCTCTCTTGTCGAATTTAATCGTCAATTAAATGTCCGAAATTTTCAAAGAACAATTTTCAATTCTTTACAAAGATCTTTGGGAATCTCCCATTCAACTATTACAATGCGTCAAGTTATTTCCTCATCATTATTCACAGGAGCTTCATTTTCAGTGAATACAGAACATTTAATTGATGCTATTAAATCGATTCCGGGTGCGATCGCTATTTATCCAATCTACTTTGCATCTGGTCCGCAATATTTCGAGAACTACTGGCCCATTGGTAGAAAAAGTGACAATCAAAGTGATTCAATAAGTGCACACAAATTAACAGGTGTTGATCGAGTTCATAAAGAATTGAAAAACTTTGGTAAAGGCGTTCGGGTTCGTACGAAATCTAAATGTTAAGAAGTTTCAAAAGAAAAAAAAGCACTAATCCTGTTCTTTTTATTGTATAGATAGCTATTATTGATAATGGTATCGATTATTATCATCCAGCTCTTGGAGGTTGTTTTGGTCCAGATTGCAAAGTTGCATTTGGCTATGGTAAGATGAAGTTGAAAATTCTTTTAGGCATACAAAGAAATATGATGATTGAACTATTTCCAGACTTAGTTGGAGACGAATTTAGTGGATCGCATATTATACCTGAACCTGATGATGATCCACTCGATAATTGTTCGAGGTCTTCTCATGGTATTTGATAATGTTACATTCATTTTCTTGAACATAATATAATATTAGGTACACATATTGCTGGAATACTTGCTGCAAATGCAACAGAAATAGTACAAACCAATTATAGCCCTCTAGAACCATTTATCGGTGTTGCTCCACAAGCAACTATTGGAGCATGTAAATAAACATATTCTCTCTATTAGTTGAACTCAATCATTTTATTTGCTTTATTTTGTAGATCGTATTTTTGGATGCTCCGAAAATGGTACTACTACAGGTACAGATGATTAAATATCTACTATTAATATATTCATTTTTTTACACTCTTCTGTATATACATTATTCTAGATCTCATTACTGCAGCCATCTATCGTGCTTTTGAAGATAAAGCTGATATAAGTAAGTCACTAGGATGTGGATGTAGGTTTTTAGTATGTGACTTCCGATTGCCTGATAGCAAAAAAATAAAAATAAACCACGATTCTTTCAATAGTATAAAATACTATACATCTAGTTACAATGTCTGTTGGCAGCATGGGCAGTTATGCAGAGAGATCAGATGCAGTTGCTGTCAAACGAGTATCCAAAGCGGGAGGTAACAACTGTCCTTTTTTTTACTGAAGAAAGTGTTTCTCGAATTTCGAAATTTTTCTATTAGTTTATGTCGTATGTTCGATGGGCAATGACGGAAGAAAGGGTCTTCAAACGGGTGCAAATCCAGCTATTGCTAAAGATGCCATTGCAGTTGGATCAGTAGATAATTCGTATGAAGCCCAATTATACTTGATAACACCGAATGGCGAAAAAATTTTTTATATACCCGGAATTGCGTATGGTGGGTGGCGATCGACGATATGCTCGACTATTGTTGTTAATGGTTAGTTTTCTCTTATTTGTGAATGTGCATATGGTGGATAGTTTTATATATTGATCAGATCCACAAGCTACATCGAATGATGGCTGCTCTGGTCCATCTAAACCAGTTGAAGATGCTGTTGTTTTGTACGCAGTTAGTCGAGCAGATACTTGCAACTCTACTGTTCGATGTAATAAAGCAGCAGAACAAGGCGCCATTGGCTGTCTTCTATATAATATCGATTCTATAATAGGTTTGCCTTTTCTATGTTTATTTTGAATTTAATATTATAGCTTTTAGGTTCTTCTGTTATTCCGAGTGGAAGTATTAGTTTAGAGGATGGTCAAAGCATCATTAAGATAGTGACAGAAAACTCATCAGCAATTTTTACGTTCACCAATATGCTTGAATTTAATCCAATGGTGAGTAAATAGCATTTTGATCAATGATAACATTAGAGAGACAAAAAATCAAAATTTGTTGAGTATTCGGGACTTTAACGCACACAACAAAACTCAACTTTTTGAAACCATATATTCATATGATCGAAATTCATAAAATAAACAGACACGTATGAAAACCAGACAAAAAACTATAACAACATCTATTAGCATTGATTCATATTTTTAAACTTGACAGCTTTTTGAACACTTTCTCGATGAAAATTAATCATGAACTATTTTGTTTTTTTTTCGACTACTAGTTGACAGTTGGAGCACCTTCTCCATTTACATCCCTCGGTCTTACAAGTGATTTATTATTCAAACCTCAAATAAGTGGCATTGGCGGTTATGTTTACTCAACTATTTCATCTTATGCTGCTCAAAATCAATATTTGACGAATGCCTACGCTTCCTATTCAGGTACAAGTATGGCATGCCCCTATGTTGCAGGGTATGTATGAATTATGGATTTTCTTTCCAAACGTTATGATTTTTCATCAAGCATATAGTGAGCTTCATTAATTGAAAAATATAAGGTCAAATTTTCCAATTTTTTTTTCTTAAAAGTTTGGAAAAAACAAAGAAAAAGGCTATTGTGCCAAACATTTTTAGTATTTATCTGTTATTTGTTTTATTCGAAGAACTCTAGCACTCTATCTTTCACAAATCGGTAATCCAGCACCCGAAACAGTCAATAAAGCGTTCAATAACGGTACTACTCATCGTCCTTCAATCTCTGAAGTTCTCAACTTATTTCAATCAAATGCTAATCCAGTCAATATTTACAATTCCACTCTTCTGGCTTCAACTGTTCAGCAAGGTGCTGGATTAGTAAATGCTTTTCAAGCACTAACAGCTACGACAATCATTTCACCAAGTGAACTTGCATTGAATGATACAGTAAGACAACAAGAATCGTATGTCATTGAAGTATTCAATATTGGCAAAAAAACAACTTCATACAATATCAGTCATCATGGAGCTGCATTGATTACTGGAATTCAGGATGGAAATGATCAACTCTTGTCTCAGCCGTTATACTCGGCTGATTATGCTGTGAGTTCCATTTGTACGATGAGAGATACTGTATATCATGAAATAGGAAACTGACATAAGTAGTTTAGAATAATATTGCATGTTATATAGACAATGCTGTTTTTGACATTATCAAATTAGTGGAAGATTTAAGTTTTTACTCCAACTCAATCGTTCAATATCAAAGACTTTGAGGATGATATTTAGGATGGGAACCTGTATGTGAACAAAATGTTATCAGGCATATTCATTTAAATAAAGCCTGTTGAGACCTATCTACTAATTATCTCTAGTCCTAGTCAAACAAATGTAGTTATTTTAGAAAGGCACGATAATTCTAAATCCTATAGAACATGTGAGATTTTTATAGAATTAGAATAATAAATCAATCATCAACAAGTCTCTAGATTAATGCACGTTCTAGAACAATCGAATCCAATAAAAGAATCGTATTCACACTCGATAGACTTTAGTATTTTTCTTGGATCACATTTTATATAGCTGTTGCTTTCTAGAAGGTATATTTTACTTTAGCGTTCGAACATAAATGTATGATATGAATATATGAAGATCAAACAAATGTTTGTAAATCATTTGATTGATTCATTTTTTCATTTTCTAATTAAAGACTGTTCATATTTGGCCAGAATATTTTCAACTTGATCCTGGGCAATCACGTACAGTTACACTTAAATTTCATGCATCTGATGGAGCAAATCCGAATTTTCTTCCAATTTATTCAGGCTTTATTGATGTAGCAAATGATGTTGATGAAAAAGTTGTTCATGTTCCATGTAAATATTCATTTCTAGAAAATGTTACGGCTTATCCTTTGATATACATATATAATTCTATATAGATGCTGGTGTTGTTGGGAATTATAGCGATGCACGTATTTTAGTGCGCAATAATCCACAAGGATTCATTACGGGTATTGTAGGTGATGATGGATATTATATCACAGATGGACAAGAATTGAATATTACAGCTGCGGGTGTTTTTCTAATTATACTGGTTACAGCGTGGGCTTCACGTACCATTTTAGTAGAAGTTGTTTCAGCAGAAAATAATGGTCTACCTGAACTTGATTTGAAGTAAAAGAAAAATAAAATCTTATTAAAGAAGAGAGTAGTAACTATATTTAAGTAACTTTTAAATACACATATATTTTCTGTCAAATAAGATTGTATAACTAATTTTATCCCTAAGATTAGCTCAACTCAATAAATCAGTCATAATTTTGATCAATTTCTGATTTTCAAGAAACGACTTTCATTCGTTCATTGATAATCATGAGATCAATATTCAGTTCATCATATGCTATATCTGAGAACAATCATTGCTTGGCAATAGTTAAGATTTTCTAGAAAAAAATTGGAAAAATCGTTAATGATGAATTATTACTGTTTTGCTGATGTACTTTACCAATACAATTCGATAAATAATTTTTTTTCTCTTTTTTACATAATAGTCATGGAATGTTGTTCGATCCTCTTCAACGCAAACCATTATATTTCGTGAATGTACCGAGAAACGGGGCTACAGGATTCAGCGAGTCGTACGAAGAATATTCTTTGTATTTATGGTCTGGACTTGTTGCTCAAGTGGTTACAATTCAAAATGATTTGTTTTTGCGTACAACAAGACTCGCTCCTGGTCGTTATAAACTTCGATTTTCGGCTCTTAAAAACTTTGGAGATTATAGAAATGATAATGACTATGAAGTTTACTATACACCATCATTCAATTTCGTCTATTAGATCATTATAATAATATTTTTGCTTCTCTTTTTCTTAGTTTTATACAACTGTTTGTATGATTTTTCTCTAATAAATTGTCGTGCATTTGTATCCGATATTCAGACTCGTAGTCATAGTCAATCTGTTAAAATTTTAACGATTTTTCTAAGCTTGACGAATCGCAACGACATAAAATCCTGAAATCGATCCCTTTCCTTGACATTTCTGATCTCTCGTATCTAGATTTGTGACATTAGAAGACAACACAAAAGAATAAAAAACTAACATTTAATTCATTGAAAGTAAGTATTTGTTGCGATTTTAAGGTGTACTTAACTGTATTTAGGTTAATGAAGTTTTGTTTTCTAGAAATATGGAAGATTGTACATGGCAGCAAGGGTGTGGGTGTGTGTCGGTGTGTGTGGGTGTGGGGTGTGAGGTGTGGGTGTGGGTGTGGGTGTGGGTGTGGGTAGGTGTGGATGTCGGGTGTGTGTGTGTGGGTAGGTGTGGATGTGGGGTGTGAGTGTGGATGTGGGTGTGGGTGTGGGTGTGGATGTGGGTGTGTGGATGTGGGTGTGTGGATGTGGGTGTGTGGGTGTGGGTGTGGGGTGCGGGTGTGGTGTGAGTGTGGGTGTGGGTATGGGTGTGGGTGTGGGGTTTCATCCTCCATTGAATCACACACACGCCCACACCCACACCCCCCCACCCACCCCCACACCCACATCCACCCATACCCCACACCCACACCCCACACCCACACCCCACACCCACACCCACACCCACACCCACCCACACCCACACCTACACGCCACACCCATACCCCACACCCACACTCACACCCAAATCCATTTGAACTTCGATGAAACGAATTTTGGTGGTATTTTCATGAAATTGCTAGGAAAAAACTAGATCTTCATGATGCTAGGGAGTGCTTCGGATCTTTCATATTATCTGAGTACTTTCTAAAAATAAATGAGATATTTGTATTCTGCGCACTGGATGTTATTGAATTATAAAGACTTGTGATTGGACAACCAGCGAATTTTTTTTTCGATACCTGAGGGAGACCTCAAGTATCAAAACTTGAGTTGTGATCATGTAGAATAGAGAATTATGAAGAATAACCAGAGTTCGATGCTGACTTTGAAAGTAATAAAATCAGGTTTAACTTTTCAGGGGCTCCGATCCGTAATTCGATGCAACTTTTGCCATATTAGGGTGTGATTAATGTGTGATAATAAACTAATAAATGAATAAGCATCAACTACATGCTTTACTTTATCTTATTTTACTATATCTTGCTTATTCGATAAAGTTAGAGATATGTCACTTTACTTTACTTTACTTTATCAAGTAAAGATAAAGTGCCACCCCTACTTACTAATGATCAATGAGCTAGAATGAAATGAACTGGTCGACAATGGACTTTGAGATAAAATTAAAAGAAAAACAAGCCAAAAGTAACAACAATAACTGATCCGAAGAGACTCAAAACTTTAAAAATTAAAGTAATAAGAAAACACTATCTATGTTGAAGGTGAGGGTGAAGAGATACGTTATCACCCACGGCACCTGCAAACATCACTCCGCTGTTTCACATGATCGATAAGTTTTTGACTTAAGAGCGAGAAAAATATATTATACATTGTGGACGAAGTATAAAAATGGAGAATACGATAAACCGAAAGAAAAATCAAAGGAGGAATGAATGTATGAAATGCCAACTAATGGTAGAAGTATCAAGAGACTGAACTATCAATGATAAGTATTCTCATAAGGAATGTTAAAGGATGATCGCCATGTCGCTTACAATTGATTGCACGTAATAGTTGTGAAACTATTTCTAATCCACTCTATCTGAGTGAAAATATCACTTTTGATATCGACTCAACAGTCACCAAGAGAACAGATCGAGGAGAAAAACACAAAGTCAACGCTGTTCGTTTCGAACTAGCTGAAAGTGAATTAACTTGTCTCCGATGTCCTGTTATCGACACGGCATTCGATCAAAGGAAGCGAGCTTCTCTCCACTGAAATCTGAGATAATCCTTGACGACAGTCTGAACTGGATCCGACTTGATCAATTCATTTGAAACCAAAAACTTGGCCAGGAAATGATTTAGAGATCCGTCTTCTCTCGTCCTTCACGAAAAAAGCTTTGACTCACTGCTGTTATACGAATATTTACTATAACGGCTTCGTGTCGTCGAAATGCCTTGTAGACTATGTAACTTATTTGAGATTATTATTAGTATTGTTATTATTAGTATTGTTATTATTAGTAATGATCCTTGAATAGTTACGAAATCGAAACTACCTGAAGAGATCCTTGAGCAAGGTCGAAACGCGTCGTAGTTTGCTTTGACTCACCCTTCTATTTGTATAAGTAAATATCAATACAAACTCGAGCAACATTAGAGAGAATTTATTCATTTTCGCTTTTATCATATTAAAAATGTTGCTCTGGCAAGCTAGTATTTCTACCAACTCTCACGTTTTCGTCATTACAATATGCATTTGATCGCAGGAGATCATTTACCTCTTGGTAAGTTGTAATAGGAAATTGTTCTCGTCGACGTACAGAGCACGATATCTCTTATGTCTTTACACATGGTAGAAAAAGAAGAACAGGTGTGATGTAGGATGTGTAAAGCCACAAGAGATGTTATGCTCTGTTCTTCAACGAGAAGAATTCTGGCATCTTCTCAAGAAAAAGGATCATGACGAGTACAAAAGTGAAATCGGAAGAAAAAGATGATGATGTTACTCAAGAAGAAGTCGGCGCTTTTCATCACACGATAGAACAAATTTCACCATCAACAAGAGAAAAGCGTAAACGAGATGAAGAAATTCCAACCGAATGGCCAAACAAATACAAGCATATTGCAGATGGTCATCGTTCGCTTTCAACAACAGCTAAAAAGAATGTTTTAACTGTTCCATTTTGGAAAGACTTAAATACAAGAGGAATCTCGGAAGAATTTCATCCGAAAGAAGTTGGACGTTTTTCATTACTCATGGAAGGTGAAAAACAAGAACGTTTTGAAGATAAACGTTGTTGTCGTGTTTATAAATATCCGCTTGAAACACGCAATGTTAATTTGGATTTAAAAGTAGGTCTATCAGATATTGTTTATGATGGACACAGTAAAAATCTGGATTCTATGCTTTGGTGGATATCAAAACATAAAGAAGAGATTTACCAAAACAATCAATTTATATTTGATTTTCTTTCTTGGCGTGGTGCTCTTCGTTCGATTATGTTTACTTTACATGAAAAACGTTCCGATTGGTTATTAGCTGTAATTAAATATAAAAACGCATATTTTTTATGTGAATATGTAACAGATATACAATTAAAAGAAGAACAAAATATGACATCTGAAGCTCGTTCATTTCGTTATTATGGTCTGAAATTCGAAGAATGCGTCACTAAAAATGACACAACAACAGAAACATTAAATTCATTAAAAAAATTTATCGGAGTATTTCAATCGACGATCGGTTCTTATCGTTTACTCTATGGTGCTGAAATAGATTGTGCAACAAAAAAATCATCATCAACAACTAAACATATTGAACTAAAAGTTTGTGCTGGAAAGTCACTCTATGATTTGCCATTTGATTACAATCATAAATATGCTAGATGGTGGATTCAGTCTTTTCTCGCGGGTATTCAAACAATGATTATTGGTTTTCGAGATGATAATGGAATTGTTAATAAAGTTTCACCATTGAATATCTCACAAATCGAAAAAGCGACAAGAACATGGAGTCGCCAAGCATTTTTCAATTTCTTCACATGTTTTGCTAATTTTCTTAAAGATAATGTGACAAACGAATATTCAGTTGATCAAAAAGAAGTTGTCTTATTTTCTTTTTCATCATCTGCTCACCGAATCACACTGGAAAAATCCTCGGATCCAAAATATCATTTTATTCCTGATCAATTTATCCATGAATTCAATTAAACAGTCTCATTTTAAGCTAGAGCAACACATTTCATTCAAATATAGATTAATGACAACGGTTGATTGGAATTTTTCAATGGCATTTTATATCGGTTGCCATTTATTTAAAAAATGCTTTTTAGAAAACGGAGCGAATTTCTTTTCATATCTGATATACTGTGTCAGGGTGTGGGTGTGTGGATGTGGGCGTGGGTGTGTGGATGTGGGCGTGGGTGTGTGTAGGTGTGTGGGTGTGTGGGTGTGGATCAGGGTTGCCAAATCCAAATTTTAGAAATCAGGAGCTTTTTTTTAAAATCAGAAGTTGAACAGTAGATTTTTTCTAGAAAATCAGAAGAAAAATCAGGAGGTTTTTTCCAAAGAATCAGGAGAGAATCAGAAGACTTTTCCAAAAAATTCGGAGAAAAATCAGAAGACTTTTTGAAATCAGGTTAAACAGAAAAGTACTAGACAGTTTTCTCTTGTAGAGGCAATATTGTCACTGTTAATTTACAAAGTCTTGTGACTTTTCTCTATCAAATGAGTAGGGAAATAATTATCTCGCAAGTGAAATAAAGAAAAGAGATGATTAATCATGAATATGTCTTGATATCTCAAATTGAAAATCTTGAAACAAAAGATCTCGAATAAATCTATGTCTGTATACCTGTCTACTTTGTTCATAATATAATCTCGGGTCTGTCGTTTCGATCGCCGGAACAGACAACAACGGGTCGAAAAGACGCTGAAAAACTACGGAACTGAGCGGTTTCATAATGTTTCGGCGTGTTTCTTACGCCGGATATGTTGTATTCGGCAATATCTGATTCTTCAAAATTGCTGGATTGATTACAGATCCTGTGATATGCGGATAGATTACCTTATGCGATTGAATTACTGTCAAAATGAAGTAACTCCTCTCTTCCCAATCACA